CCGAAGAGGATGAAGTTTAACAGAGGAAAATCATACCAATGTAGTTATTTTCTGCCTCCAAGTGTCTCTGCCTGATCCCTAAGGAGGTATCAGTTGGTTCTGGACAGTCTCAAGAGACAGCATCCAGTTGCAAGGTGCCAGGTAGCCATTTACATGAACACTCTGCAGTTTCAATCACTTCCACACATGAAGCATAAAACAGAAATTCATTTCTCTTTTGCCTCCTTTGTAACACATTATAAACTCAAATCCTCTTTAGTTTAGTAGGCTGGTGAGCAAGGATGCTTAGTAGAGGCAAACTAATACAGTTCTCCATCAGATGGAACTGAGAGCTAGTATTTACTACTATTTCAAGAAAATTCATTACTCCATTTCTTCATCTTTCTTCCTTTCCTTTAGCTAAGGCAAAAACTGAGCCTCCTTCCCCAAAAGCCGTTTTAGAGGTGGGATTTATTTTTTTAATAAATCAGTGTCAATTTAAGCACCTTCTCATCCTCCCTGCTCCCTAACCTATTCCTTCTGTTTTGCTGTTAAAGCAAACAGGATCCAGGCTTTAGAAAAGACTTCTTTTCTCCCAAAATTCTGGATGACATCTTTTACCTGCTCCCACTGACATAACTGAGGACAGAAGCAAGAAACAGAGGCTTTTATTTCAGAGAAACTAAAGGAATAAATGAAGGGAAGGAAGTATCTCAGGAAGGACTTCCAAATAGCATTTCACACATGCTCCAGCAAAACCTGAGAGTCATTTGTGACATCTTCAGAGAGGTGAGGAACATCATGTTCACTTTTTCTTCATAGTCTCTCTTGATCATACTTCAGGATATTCCCAAACTTCATATGTGCCCGATTTCCAGATAACTCTATACCAAAAAATGAAACTGAGGAGAAAAAGTAGATTCAGCCAAATGAGCACACAGTTCAGCTGAGCATGCCAGTTTTTAAAAGGCATCAAATTCAGACCCTGCCCTCCTTAATTAAAAGCTTTGTTTTGCCTTGCCAAGGCAGAAATTTGACAGCCATTAACTACCCTGCACGAGAAATAAATCTGTGCACAACAGACGTACAAAACAGCAGGAGTGAGCTACTGTAGTACATCTCAAGGAGAAATTTCTTCCTGGCAGTTGAATACAAGGTTGATATTCCCTTCCCCAGCAACAAAACAGCCTCTACTTTCTCCTCGTATTTCCCACCACCTCCACTCCTTCCCACACATCCTCCACAGGGCTGTGTTGGTACAGATGTTCTTGCAGCCACACAGCGAGCCCCACAGCTACTCTGATCAGCTTGGAAGATAAAACAGCAAGAGAGGGAAAAAGTGACTGTGATCTGGTTCAGCAGGAGGCCACAAAAACAGCTGTGCTGGCACAACACCGTGAGCAAGAGCTGCTTATGCACGCCACCACGGATTGGGTCTCCACCACCTCGGGTGTGGCTTGCTGATACCAGGCTGACCAAGTGTCACCGTCCCAGCAAGGCCACCCTTCTCACTTCCACCCCATGCTGCCTTGCCCCCATCTGACTCTGCAGCAAGTGAGTTGAGGGCACCAAGCTTGCCAAGCTAACTGTGCCAAAAGGTAGTTTTCTGTCTGTTCAGTTTTCTTGATCGACTTGCCGCAGGATCAGACAGACACCCATGCTGAAACAGCCTCCAGCTCAGGTTACCCATGAATATGGTACCACAACAACACACCCAGGTGACTGCCAAATGCCAGGTTCCCCTCCCTGTGCAGGGGCAGAAGCAGGAGCACAGCCTATGCTCTGGGACACCTGGGAGGCTTCTGAGAGTTTTCTGCCTCCTCTCACCTGTTTCAAACCAGTTCCTATCTAGCCTGGCTAAGAGAAAAAATTGGTGTTGGGATTCAAGTGCAGCTTTGTAGCTGGCTGGCACACCATCGGGTGCCAATTCTCATATTTTCCAAGCTTATCTTCTCACACCAAGCAGCCAGGATGGAATAAGGTATCAAAGTAGAAAAACCACACATCCCCCTGACACAGTGAAAACTTGAGATGCATTCACAGCACTAACTTCCCAACATAAAGCATTACCTGGCTTTATGTATTTGACGATTGACCACTGATTCTTTTTTCTCAAAACTTACACAACACTAAAATAAATCACATGACAACCAGCAGAAGAGTGAATGTATAGATGCCATCCCATGCACGTGCTGTATGCTTCAGCACTCCAGTAACTGGAGCTGCACCAGGCAGTTGAAATATACAGCACAATGCCAAGCGGAGACAGAACCTCACGATGTACCTTGCACACAAAATATGCATCATACACATCTGAACTTCCAGTTGTGTTTTGTCAAGATAAAGTACATTTCTAGCCCTCCTGGCTGCAATGATAGCCTTGGAAACACAAACCTTGATATCTGCTCAAGTCTGTAGACTGTTGGAAACAGTGAGTCATGCATGAATTCCCACTACCCATTAATCTCAACGCATAAGCACTTACGCGGCAATAATGGTGTTCTAATGTTCTGGCAAAAATGGGAAAAACAGGTTAGCAAAATTTGGGAGTGACTGTCAGGAAATGAAGATAAAGACAATGCTTGGAGGACAGCAAGAACAAGGACGGGACAGGAAAAAAGAAGTCATAAGTTACGAAGGACAGCTCTCCAAGCCAAACAGAAGTTCAGCTACCACCTGTTTCCAAAAGCCAAGCTTCCCCACTCATCTCCATGCACCACCCCTCAAAACAACTGCAGATCTGTGGCTCACTGAATATAAAATTCTGCTCCTTTACATACCCAGCCAGAGACCTTAGTAAAGCCACAGTGGGCTTCAACCCCACTCTTGCATTTTGGCAAGCTGTTAACAATGACCCCAGTATGCATACATAACCTTGTGCCCCCAGATTGTCATTTAACAGAGCATCTCAGCAAAAGCTACCCTGGGTTCTGGTCAGCAGCCACCTCCAGAATATTTTAAGAGCAGCACACTGAGCTTGTGAAAGACTGAATACTTCTGTCAGCTCTGTCAAACTGACTACAGCCCACATACTTACAAGAAAATTGCCCCGTTGCCAATTAGGCAATTTAAAATGGATATCTCATTTTTCCTGAAGAAGGGTACTCTCTGGACAAAAAGGGAACCATTTTATTTCTACCATCTCCAACTTGATTAAGTTACTGTTTGGGGTTATTTTTTCGAGTGAAAATTCTGTAGCTACATGAATGTGGAGATTTTTATCTCATCCAAACCCAATTAAAGAGCAATTCAGAATTCAGGCTTATAGTTAATAACTTTTGCTCCATTTCCCAAATACAAAATTCATAAGGTGACTTCACACCCAGATCCCAGCTTTCCAACCACTTAAATTACTTAGCAACACTCAGTTAAAATGTATGTTTTATTTAGGCACTATTTGAAAGTTTTATTCTGTTTTTATCTTGTGTATCTCATTTAAGTGACGGGATATTTACAAGTATCTATTTAAATATGGTATAAATGGTCCAAATTAGAATGTTCTCAAACTCAGTAACTATTTCCAAGATTAAAGCAAAACGAGCGAGAACATGTCATTTGACATTACTGCAACAGCAAGAGCCCAAGTGCTGTTCTATCTGACAGATAGAGATGTCTCTCAGGAATCACAACTTTCAGTATTTCGGAATACCGAATGCAAGCAACTAGTGCAAATATATGCAGACACCTAGCAGTACAGGAACACAACTATTATACTATCCCACTTGTGCTTAACATGAAATTGTTAGCAATTTTTTAAAAAATTAAATAATTGATTTTCCAGTGTAGACTTTGTTTGTTCAAGCTTCTACTGCATAACGACTTACATTGTGGGTATTACCTCTGCCATTCACATGATTTCCAAGTTAATACTAACACACCAAAGGGAAATATTTCGAATCTAGATCATAGAATCATAGAACCATAGAATCCTAGGGGTTGGAAGGGACCTCGAAAGATCATCTAGTCCAACCCCCCCTGCCAGAGCAGGGAAGCACTGATAAGCACTACATGCTGCAAATCCAAGACAAATCCAATATTTATCCACAGAAAATCCTTCAATAATCTTACTTCCTCTGTAGTTCTAAAGGACTTCATGCCCCTCTGAAGAGACAGCTTCACTGTTTATGAAATGCCTAACACAGATGAACTTCCCAAATCTAAACCAGAGAAGTCTACCCATACCTGCAGTACATTTCTACAGATGTCCCTGTACAATCTCACCAGGAGTGGGAGATCAGTGTAGATACATCCAATAACATTTAATCTTAGTCCCTGGAAGTACTGCCTGATAACAAACTTGCATAAAGAAAATTAAGCACATATTAATCAAAAATAAGTTTGGCCTTTGAAGAGGAGACAGAGAGAATGGGTCGCACCTCAAAAAAGAGGTAGATAAGTGGGCAACAAGTAAGCAAATGGCACTCACAGAACAGCTGAGAGTAAAACTTCACGTTCAATCAAACATTGCTATCAAAACTTTCAATTGAGGGTATTATATTCTGCTGGTTAAAATCACCGTCTCTTTCAAAAGGTGAGATTTGCAGGAGATCCTTAAGACAGTATTATCTTCTGGAGGATGAAGAAACAAAACCGATAGAAGTGAAAGAATAAACTGGAAATAAGAATACTACTACCACAGTATGTCAGAACAGTTTTCATGCAGACTGCAACAATCCTTTACATTAGCTTGCAGTGCTCAATACAGATTGACTGATCTGCACAATTCAGTAAAAAACAAATTAATTGGGTGTTAGTGGTCACCAACAAAATCAGGTGATAGCAGGCCCAGCATCTTGAGGCATATGCTAAGGCTATGCCTTTGTACAGTGATAAAACACTTACACAAGTGAAGCATTCACCAGAACTGCTAATTTAACACTTACATCCAGATAAACTGCAGAGGAAGAATCTGACGTGCAAACAGCCACTTTTGCTTATTTAAGTGGATGAGTCATGTGATTAATTGCCATACTTTGCATTGTTCAGATAAGGTGTAAAGGTACAAACAAGGAAGAACCTACCAGGACTCTCTACCCGCTTGTAATGGTAGGGATTGATGCAGACCTCCTTCTGTTTTGAACCAAAGGGATACTCGCAGCATTCCAGTGGTTTCAGTTCATGATGGCTCTGCAGGTCTGGCCAGCGCCACACTCGGCAGTAGATGACGTGCGGTAGCCCCTTCCGGTGGGAAACCTGAAGCCTGCCGTCCAACGAACGAGGAATTGTCACACAGTTGCTGGGCTGACCAGGACAGCTTAATGCTTTTTCCAACTCCTCCATAGCACCTTTTTTCTTCTTCAGTTTTTTCACTAATGCATCAACAGCTTTCTCTGCCCATTTCTCTTCTTCATCCCCCTGCTTCCATCCCAACAGCCTCTTCACCGCTGGGCTGGTGAAGGAGAATAAACTTGTCACATTCATGGTGACCCCACTGTGGTGATACCACAGAACTAAGCAGGAGAGTCTGTCCTGTTCTTCCACCACCACCAAGAACGGCAGGTTGTGTCAGTAGTCAAAAGCAGCCTTTCTCAAATAGCTCTGGTCCTTTTTCCTTTTCAGTCCTCCAGTCCCAGGAAGGCAGCGCTGACATTTCCCCTTGATGGACAGAACCTTCTCATTATTATTCTAAGCTCTTCTGGCCAAAAACCTTCAGGAGAATATCAGAGGGAGAGAAAAAAGGATTTTACCTTTTAAGTTAACATACAGCAATTAAAATCACTGCCCCAACCCACACGAGTGGAGTGCACAAAAAACAGTAACAGTGAGTTGATAGCATCCAGGGACTCAAGGTACACCTGATGAAGACTTAAGCAGGAGGGCTCACTGCTGAAC